AAATATATAATTATATATATATATATATATATATATATATAAATTATGATAAAAAGTCATACATATAATACATTCATGTCTTAATTATTTATATCATATTTAATAAATATACTATTTAATACTATTTAAGTATGACGGAGTACATGAATTAACTTGCACAAAATTGTTTTATTTTATATAATAGTTTCAAGTTTGAGTCACAGTATGCAAATGAATATAATAATTAGAGCGGATAATATATGTAGTTTAGACAAAAAGAAATCTTATTCAAAAAATTTATTTATGTATTTATCAAAACTCTACATTAATAACATATATATTAGGTGTTTATGTAAAAAATATATAAGGTGTTATATTTTATGCTTCAAATATAAATTTGCAATTAAAAATGCTACATTATTCATATAAAGATGGATCTCGCGTAAATAGGTTATACTTATTTGTATATATAATCCAAATAAGTATTTACAAAATAATATGAGCAGTTTTATTCATTAAATGAGCTCATGTTTTTATATAGGTAATATTATATTTTATTGACAAAATTACTCATTATATTACTTAACATTTTCATATAAAAACGCCATTTATTTTAAATAAACTAAAACAAAATAGTGAAAGTAAGCCGTGATTCTCTTGATTTTTATCTTCCTGAAAAGTTGATATTTTATTTGATTTTTTCCTTGTTTATCTTTATCTTTTTAATGGTGTGTTTGATTTGATAGTAAAAAATAATGATAGGTAATTTACTAAAAAATAAATATTTATTATTTCTCAAAATGAGGATGCTTTCAATACTTTAGTTCAGCACTGATGAATGAGCAGTTATATTGGTTAGGCAATGGTGAGGGAATAAGTAGGGATATTCCTTTTGTAATCAGTAATCAGTAATCAGTAATCAGTAATCAGTAATCACATTCACACCTCTCTCATTCTTTTGTTGCTTCCCAGCTGGATATCGACTCTTTCCTTTCTACTTATTTCCACTTTTCTCAACCTTTTAAAATTATGAAAAATTACAAGAATGTTTAGAACAATAAAAAGAAATAGATAAAAAACAATAACAAGAAAATAAAATGTTTAATTTAATAAAAGCAAAAAAAAACACACATTTAAAGTAATTTTAAATAAAAATTAATTAATATTATAATTTAATCAATTAATTCAACAAAATATATGTTTTCAAGTGACGAACAAATTTCATAATTAATTATAATTGAAGTTTAATTGATTAATTTATTTTTTTCTTAATTGTGGAGAAATAGAAAAAAGTCACACTTTTTATTTTTTTCTTTTTGCTAACTTCTTTGTATCGAAAGTGAGGTAGGTCTTTTTAGTAATTTCAGTGAAATTTTTCAAAAGGATTGGTGGTTAAATCTATCATTGTTTAAAGTTATGTCTTACTCTAATATAAATTTTTATGTAACAAAAAAATTTAATTTTTTTTACTTTGCTCATTTATTTTGAAATTCATTTTAAATATTGAATAAATTATGTTAGAAGAGGAACAACCATTTTGCTTGTAGTTACAATTTCTTACGAAAATTAGTTTATAATGGTAATACTTCTTACTAATATCATGATTATTCAAAAAAATTAAATTTAATTAATCTTATAATCCTAATACTTTCATGAAATTATAGGGACTCTAAAAAAAATATGAAATTATAGGGACTACAAGAATAATTAAACCACATGTAGAAGTAAGTCTTAAAATAACTCCATTTTCTTTATTTATTATAAATTTAATTATCCGCATATTTCTTATAATTTTGTAAATTTCTCTTTTGGTTCTTATATAAAAATATATTTTTTAATTTTTATAATATTATTTTTGTTTTTTTAGTTGTATAATTTCATAAACTTAATCTTTGTAGAATTAAAGGACAAGTATTAAAAGATTCAAATTGATTTATATAATATATATACTAGAAAGTTTTACCTTATAAAATCATGAACATAAACTCTATAATTGATGAAATTACAATGAATAAAAGAGAGATTAAAAAGTGCGTTTAGGAATCAGTTAAATATATATATATATATTTTCTATTAAAGACAATTTCAAATTGATTCACTTAATCTTTATTATATAAAAGTAAAAGGGGGAAAGAGAACGAGCGATTGTATTTTCCCTTGTTTGTGTTGTTTTGGTCAAGTTGCATGGCTTTTTGGTTCTATAAATTCTCTAGCTGAAGCATAGAGAGACCCCTTCCACTTTCCTCCTTCTTTCTCATCACACTTTTTAGATATTATTTCTGAAGCTGCCCATGATCTTGTTCTCGATGTTGGAGATTATTCATGTATCCAATTCCAATTCTTAGCGAAATCTTCCTTTCCGGGTGTATGATCAACTCCACCGTCAGAAGACGCAGGACCCATTTAGTTCAATCCTTCTCCGTCACCTTCCTCTACTGGCTTTACTACGTTTCATGATTTCTAACCACTAAACCCCTTACTTTCTATATTACTACTATTTTTATCTGCAAAATTTTCTTCTTTTTTTCTTTCTTCTTTTTCTTCTTAGTAGTGTCTGGGTCCTGCGTCTTCTTCTTTAGCTTTTCTTTTCACAACCCACATGGCTTCCTCCAGTGGAACATCTTCAGGCTCCTCCATGCTTCAAAACTCGGGCTCCGAAGAGAATCTGCAGGCGCTGATGGATCAGCGAAAGAGGAAGAGAATGATCTCGAACCGCGAATCAGCGAGGCGATCTCGCATGAGGAAGCAGAAGCACTTGGACGACCTTGCATCGCTCGTGACACAGCTCAGGAACGAGAACCACCAGATTCTCGCTTCGCTCAATCTCACTACGCACAAGTGCTTGACTCTCGAGTCTCACAACTCTGTGCTGAGAGCGCAGGTGAACGAGTTGAGCCACTGGTTGGAGTCTCTCAACCAGATCATCGACTTCCTCAACGCCACTAACGGGGCTTTTGGGCCCCCGGGCCCACTTTTCGAGCCCGACGGAAGCTGCCTCTTCAACAACGTCCCTTGTCTCACCCAACACATGACTGTTGGGCTTTCTGGGTTTTAGAGAGTAGAGACACACAAAGAGATGCTTGTTCCCTCTCTAAATGTACTAGTCTTCACATATCACCCCATCATTATTGCTGTAACTGTGCTTCCCTATGTTAGACTTGTGTTATTTATGTCATGTCTCCATATCATATAACTTTATGTTTTATTCTCATCGCAGTTTTTCAAATTCACTTTAGTTTTAATGTGTTCTCCTAATATAAATTTCTCATACATGACGTTTTGTAATTAGATGACGTACCTGTTGAGCGAAAATAAATTTGATTTTCTTAAACAAAGCTTTAAATTCAAGTTTAAAAAAACAATATATTTTTTTTTTGACAATAAAGTCTGGAAGTATTTCACACATAGTTAAAGAGATATTATAATGATTTTTGACGAGTTAATAAAGAAAAAACCTCTTACAATAATGCGCACGCTCACCCTTTAATTGTTCCATATTTTACTTTCTATGGTGCCACTTCTGTATCAGTTATTATTGAATATTTTAGCGCTTTGTTTAATTGTTGCATCTTTTTTTACCTTTTCTTTCTGTGGTGCCCCTTTTACTCAAATGCTCTGTGAGTCTGTTTAGTTAATATATTTATTATTGTATACCATGGACTTAGTGCCTTCTTGGACTAAACTCGAGGTGGTATACAATTTTGATACTTGCTCTTGGATGATAGTTTAGTGGACAAAGTTGAATTCATTATTATAATAGTAACTCTCGTTTGAACTTTGACATGATGCACGCACTCTTTCAATCAGTGGGCCCATGCACAAATATTACTTAACCCGTTTGCTCTTTTGATCCCCACAAGATAGGAATTAGGTTCATTGAGCTTTCATAAATCATAATTCATTATGCATCATCAGCAATTTTTCACGACTCTTGATAGAAAATTGTGGTGGTTAAATTAGGTGACGGATTAGCAAATTAGCAATACACTAATAGTAACAATTAAAGGCCAAAGCTGTTATTACCAAGAAAAGGGTTAAGGTTCCAAGAAATCATACATGCTCTAGAAAAATATATTCGGTTTGTCTATAGAGGCCTCATGAAATGTCAAGAGATTCGCATATCTCAATCAAAGGAAAAGTCCAAAACTGACCAACAAAAGAAAGGGACAAGTGAAGAGGATTGGGTGCGGCACACCAACTTCTGATCTCCTCATAATAGTTTCACAGCTTAGAAGAAATTCATTCAAATTAAACGTGAAGCACAAACATGTCCCTTATTGTGTCTGTGATATGTCTAACTCAAATTGAGAACCATTATGTTCTCATTGCTAAGAGGGAAGATGTTTCAGTTCTGGGTTTTTTGTTTTGATTCTTCCAAGGAAAGGTAAATATCAGTTTAATAAGAGAGTTACATTTACACTGTGACAACTAAGAAAATGAAAGTAAAGGAAGGTACAACTTTGAGTTAAGGCTGCCACGCCAAGTTCTTGGAAAGTTTATAAAGATTAAAGGGACATGATTTACTAATAAGAGCAAAGATTTTTTTTTTTGAACAGCTAAGAAAAATTTCATTGAAAGGTACCAGTGGTACCAAAAGAGAAAAGACAAGTTTACAAATGAGTGCGCTCTTATTGTGTACCAGGGAACAAGTCCCACGTGCTATAGTATAACAAGGTTTTCAGAGCAAGTATCTTAGACATTGAACTGAAAACTCAGAACTCAAAGTCATGGTTAGCATATGCTACTGTGTTATGTATGCTCAGTAACTTTTACCTAAATCATATTTAATTCAATAGCAAGTGACATCAAGCACGTGCTTTGGTCACATGGAGCTTACTAAATTTCAGTCTGCATTATGATTTATAAAATAAATTAGAGTTTGTTTAAATGCAAGTTAAAAATATTTTAAAGAGTTTTTCTATAAAAAAAAAAGTACTTTTTTTTGCATAAAAGTTGTTGAAAACATTTTTAAATTTGTATCCAAACAAACTCTGTATCAAACGTTGCAAATTAATCAAGTCTGGTGCAAAAATGAAGCTTACAAGTTGAAATAATGCTCTTGTTGTAGTTAAGCAATGAAATAGCTTTATACCTAATTTTGCTCCATTTGTTGTAAGTTTCTGTTCCAAAAGAGAAAAAGGAGAATGGAGAGCTTCTTGCAATAGCATAGGCTGCTTGGTCCTAGATATTGGAGTTATAATGACTCAAAAAAGTAAAAGTAAGCGCGCTAACTTGTATTGTACTTGTAAAAAAGTCGATTTATTTAGAACAGCATATTAGCTTGTTTTTTACTACAAGTTCATAGTTTTCATTTTTATCTTATAAAACATCACCCTTTTCTTATTACTTAAATACATTTTTTTATCCTTGAAACCATGCATATACAAAAGTTTCCACGTACATACCTTATATTATATATGTATGTACAAGTTACATTAATCAAGTATAAATTTGGTTTTTCTTTTCCTTACCCTTCCTAGCATTCCAACGTTTAAGACTTCCCCATCTTAAATAATGAAAACAAAGCACATCAATAGTTTTTTTTTTTTCCCTTTTCCTTCCCCAATCAATACTCTTTAATTTGTTTTGTCTTTGTATGGTACATTTTCTTCTGGGGTGTCAATGCTTCGGTCACAACCCAAAGATATTTAAAACATAATTTCACGAGTTCTTACGCAACTGATTCCCTTTAAATAATGTTGTTTAAAAGCATTAAGATGAGTAGCATTAACGATAGTTGTCAACTCTCTAAACTTCAATAAAAATTAGACAAGTGTAGCGCCATGCCAGCTTCAAATTACAGATGTGCCATTCCATGAGTTAATTTAATACGTTCAAAAGCATTTTCTAACCTTTTAAAAACGAGACTTCCATCAAAATTACCTCTTAGAAGCAATTTAAGGGTGTGCTTAACAAGAATCGACTAAATAAATTTACATGCAATGTACTTTTCTGTTTCTATTAAAAGTTCAATATAAATTATTCAAAAGTTTTCACTTGAATTATAACAAAAATGCTAAACACGACAGGAAGCAGTACATTATGACAGGAAGAAAGAAAGAAAATTAAAAAGTGAAACAAAGAAAGTAACAAATGAGTCAAGTGGTGGAGCGTAAAAGCCCGCGAAAGAGCTATTTGTAAGAAGCCGCATTAGAATACATTTGTCGGAGAAAACCAATATCAGATTCAATGATTCACTATTCCTTTGTGTGTGATTTTATTGTAATGTATGGTGGCGTTAGATTGAGTATCATGTAAGTATTTGACTCACTTCATGCAAAACAAACACAGCATTGTGCTAATTTCTGAAAGAAAGAGACACAAGTCCGTTTCATTTATCCAAAATAGTGTAAAGGAGAAATTCCACTTTGTCTATCAAAGTAAAAGTTTTTAATATATTTTTCCATTGGTGTTCAACTCATGAAACTAAAGAAGAATATAATCTCTAGCCATTCTTTTTCAATGCCAAAATCTACAAAGGTGGGGGGTTAGAACAGAAGCCTAATGGCTACAGCTGAATTGGCATATATTTCTTTGCACAAAACAAGATTTCAATTGGAGGGTTCACAACAAATTCCGGAGAATAATTCTAAACTTCTAAATGGGGCTTTAGAATGTATAATAATCTATTGTTTTGTTGATAACATATCGGCAATTTTAATTTGTAACATGTCTACATTGAATTGATCAAAAGAGACGGAACGAAATAAAGAATGATATCGAGTTTCATTCTAAGGTGGATAATTTAGAATAAGATAAAATAAATGTTTAAATATATTTTTAATCCTTTGAATTTAGGCTCAAATTTAAAATTATTATTTTTAATTTCTTTAATTTTCAAAAATCTTAAATCTTGTTTTAGTTTATCATATTATCAATATCATATTTGAAAGTGAAAGATTGAAATATTTATGTAGTATTAGTGAGATTTAATGTAATGTTTTTATTAATAGAGATGCTGGAAAGTAAATTTTATACCACAATATTTGATAGATTTTCTAACAAAATTTTAGTATAAAAATTAAAATAAGATTTTTTTAAATTACAAAGATTAAAAGGACCAATTTTAAATTTAAAGGACTAAAAGAATGTTTACCTTAAATTTGAAAAATTAAAAACATATTTAAACTTAAAATAAAATAGAACCTTGATCAAATTCATTATATATATTAACAATGAAAAAGGTACTTCGTGCATATTCATGAAAAAATTAAATATTTTTAAAAATAATTTGGTAGTTACTATTTCTTTTTAAAAATAATAATTATTTTTTATATGCATTATTTTCTTATTTTATCTTTAGATAAATTGGTAAAAAAAAAAATAGAATACAAATATAGAAGCATAATTGTCTTTGAAAAGTGGACACTAAATCCCTTTTATATATTGAGATAGATATATAGAGAGAGAGGAGGTTACTTTGAGAATAAGTCCTGATATGTTTACTTCATTCAATAACTAATATTTTATATCGAATTTTTAAGATCTATTTGTTAAATTTTTTTTAATGCATAGATTAAGTCTTTAAAATTTTAAATTATTTGTCATTTTGAATTAATAAAACAGAATGGTGATCTTGCGATTACGGCGAGGGCAAGGGAGGTCAACAATCATGTTGATCTCCTCCTGGAAGGAAATCAATTTGAAAATCTTGTCTTCATGGACTTTCTCTACTTCTTCAATACTTGTTAGTTTCTCTTTAGGTTCAACTTTAATTTCAACCGTAGTTATTAGCTTTTCTACGAGTTCAAATTCATCTTGGGTAGTTGGTGGGGAAGAAGTTCGATAACAGATTTCACTCCTTTTACTAAGTTTGGCTTTAAATTTGGGGTTCCTAAGACATGGATGGATTAGAAAGGAAAGGATTATGAACAAAAGAAATATAGGCAAGGGTGTTGGCAATGGTGACGGAAGTGTTCATATGATCGTTGAAGTCGGAGGAGCAAAAGGAGATGATGGTAGTGGTAGTGGAGAAGTGGAAGGGAGGGTTGAAGTAGTTTAGTGGGATTTAGGATTTTTTTTTTGAACAAAATTATCATTTACCATAAAAAATAATATTAATACATTAATAAACTTTTTAATACTAAATAAATTTGAACCCTTCAATTTAATCATTTATATATCTAGTGGTATTTTTTATTTCTCAGCCAATACACCACTTGAAAACTATCTTTTTATTTACTGGATCAGTCATGTACTATATGATATATT